ATGTTTGCTTTCAGTCTTAAAACTGAACTGAACTATTCAAAGTTACAACAACACTGAAAAAATGACTTATGACCGTTTTTCAGACTTAGGACCATGGTCACCTGATCAAAATTCAGATGTTTGGCAATTGACTCATATTTATGATGGTTGCAATGTCCTGGGGTCATGTGATCACCTTTTCTGACTTTCTGACAAGCAAAGTCAATGGGACAGCCAGATTCACTACCATGTTACTAATAACTGCAGTGATTCACTTAACAACTGTGGCAATAAAAGTCATAAAATGAGACAAATTCACTTAAGAGCTATCTCATTTAGCAACAGAAATTTTGGGCTCAATCGTGGTTGTAAGTTGAGGACTACTTGTATGTCTAATGAACACTATAGCCAACATTATCAAACATGCAAATTTTAAAAGTACATGAACAACCTTGGATCACTCTGATTATGAGTCACAAAATACCAGCCTCTGTTCAAAGTTTAGTTATGTATGAATTTATCACCAAATATTTGATAGTCACAGTTCTTCTAATGCAGGGTATCTTTACAATCTAGCCCAGTGGTTCTCAACCTGTGGGTCGGGACCCCATTTGGGGTCGAACGACCATTACACAGGGGTCGCCAAACAAGGCTGTCCGCCATTTTTTCCCCTTTTCTTTGGCCACGCCCCTGGCACCTGGTGATGTATAAGTGGTTGGGGGTCACCACAACATGGGGAACTGTATTATGGGGTTGCGGCATTAGAAAGGTTGAGAACCACTGATCTAGCCCAAAGCAAACATAGATGGGCGTTTTCCAGAGCCCACTTTGTTGCCATCCCATCCACTGGTGGGGAGATTTTGTTGGGATTCTTTATTTGTAAACACTTTGCCCTTATGGAATCCAGCGAAGTAGATATTCCTTCTCATGTCTTCATTTGGTGTCCTTTCTATAACAACATCCACTCCCCAAAAGAATTCACCCAAAATCTTTAAGGTGTTCATGATCTCATCTTGGAGATTGACTGCAATAGCATACAAAATCTTTTTACTATACTTGTCTTAAGAGCTCGTCTAAGAAAGCCAAAACATCTTAACATGATTATCTCATGGAATTCTAGTGATTTTGAAATTATGTTTATTTAATTTTAAGGTCTTGCAGATGCGACACAGGAATGTTGCACGTGCCCTACTGCCAATCTGTACAATTAGGTTGTTAAAACTACGTTAGAAAACATAATACTTATGAAGAATATATGTCTATGGATGGTTATATAAAAAAAATTGAGAACACATGGATTAACTTTTTAACTGGATTACAATAGAAACTGATATAATAATTTTCAGAACTACTAAGTAAATAAATTAATTGAGATTCTGTATGCAATGTTTTTGGAAAAACAGCTCTATGCCATATAAATAAAGGCTGGAAATTACTATAATTGCTGATATGGCTCTAATAATGCTTTGACAATATTAATTATTGTGTGTTATGATCTCCAAAAATATATTTCCAACATTCATCTCCAACACAACTGATTTTCAGAAGATGGGATATCAATGTTTATATCCATTATGTCAGTACTAAATGGGAATTCTAATATCCCAATTCCAAAATTCCAATGTTATTATGCTTTCAAATTCCACTTCTCAACACTGCTTTATGGAACATTAATTCTCACAAATGCATTAGACATTAACAGTTTATTACAGCATCGTGTCACTAGCCAATAAGCAAAACTGATCACTAGAACCATATTTTTTCCAGGAGATTGACTTGGGTTAAATACTTAAGGAAATCTGATTGAAATCTTATTTTGAAATGCCTCTTTTTAAATGGCTAAATATCTGATGATTCACAATTTTAAAACATGTATTTATTAATTTAAACTCATAATCTCAAATTCTAAAGTAATGGTACAATAAGTTATTATACATCTAACAATATATACATATTTATTCAGATGTCTAATTCAATTTAACAAGCCTTATTTTCAGGCATCTATGTATAATGGATCCAAGTCTCCAAATATTTGGAGCAACTCCCAATAACCCTTGCTTTTAAACATGTGAGTCAGGATAGAGAGAAATTGGAGCTTGATAACATCTGAAGAGGAATATGTTATTAATCCCTAATGCAAAATATTATATAAATGTTATTAACTCATAACTTGATCACTCAGTTAATCTATTGCAACAGACTCAGGCCTACCTTTGGAGATAACCTGGAAGCTGCAACTAGTACAAAATGTGACAGATTATTGCTGCACTAATCCCTGTAGGGTAAAATAACATCTATATTGAAGTTGCTTTATTAGTGCTTGTACATTTTCAGGACCAAATCAATGGGTCACTACTTTAAAGACTTATATATTGAAGCACTGGGCAATATCAGTTTTAGTATTGTCAAACTTGGATTGCTAATCTGGTTCAATCATCTAGAGAAAGCCTACAGGGGTGCTCTTCTCCTTCTGAGGTGCACTGAGTGTACTGTAGACAATATGACATTCTTTTTCCATGGTAGTCCCCAAAAGTATGTGTCACCTCCCCCTTGTGGACAATCCAAAACAAATTAATCAATTTATCCCAATGAGCTCTAGCTGATTAAAAACATTTCCTTCTGGTTTTGATTGAAGTATTATTGTTAAAGTTTTCTTTGCCTTTTTTCCATTCCTGTTTGTTATAATACGCTACTCAGAATTTCTTGCAATTGGGGCAAGTTGCAAGTACTATCAAGAATACTTGTAGATTAAAACTCTATGTAATTCTGAAGTTGGGCAGCTTCCAAACTAGATAGATAGGTAGGTAGGTAGGTAGGTAGGTAGGTAGGTAGGTAGGTAGGTAGGTAGGTAGGTAGACAGACAGACAGACAGACTGACTGACTGACTGACTGACTGACTGATTTAGGATTGCCCATAAAGCAACTCAGCAGCTAGTTGCTAAACTCTCATAACCAATGCCTTCCACGATCATGATAACAATAAAACAAAGGAGGAAGGGATGGTTATTAGCCCACCTACCCCCTCAACCTCTGAAGTAATTTAAAAGTCCCTACTTTTTGGCATATCTGACTTCAGCTTTGGCTTTGGTACATATGGCTTCAAAAGAAACAAGATTCCTTTAAAACAATCCAACTCTAATCAAAATGCTACTTCTCTAATTCTTTCCAGTATTTGGAAGGCAGCCTCTAGGTCATTGATACAGACAGGATTCAGAAAACATGATAAACCCAGGTTTGGTTTAATTGTACTTTTTGAATTTGCTAACCTAGCAGTTTAAAAGCATGCAAATGTGAGTAGATAAATAGGTACCACTTCAGTGGGAAGGTAACAGTGCTCTGTGATGTCATGCTGGCCACATGATCATGGAAATGTCTTCAGACAGCATTGGCTCAACAGTCTTGAAATAGATATGAGCACTGCCTCCTATGGTCAACAATGACTAGCGAAGTAAAATCCACGGGATTCCTTTACCTTTTTATTGAATGAATTCCACAACATACCAAACCACAATTCATTATTCACAAACCACAATAGCAAGGATCAAATAGATTTTAAACCAAAGTTAAATTTAATGCAATTGGATGACATGAAAAACAAACTGATCTGTTTGTTTCCCACATTATTTGACTTTTTAATTTTGGCCAAATAAAAAATTATATATTCTATTTCTTCTGAGGATCCTCTTAAACATTTTTCTGCAAATTTTAGCTTCTACATTTTTTTATGGCAGGCTAGTTCCAAGATCACTAACTTTTGTGTTCCTGTCAAATTTGTATTATCCAGAAAGTACAAGGAGAGAGGGAGAGAGAGAGAGAATGCATTGGTAATGTACTTGGATAATGAAACACTTGCAAGCAAACAACCAAGCTCAGAGAGCACCAAAGACTGCAATGTAGAGCAGAAAGTTTCTTCTTTCATAAGAAGAGAATACTCAGCAAAAAAAAGATGTTGTCTTTTGTCAATTAAGCATTTTGGCATCATTTAATTATAACAGTTTTTCAGCAGATGGCAGCACCTAGTCTATCTTGGCTGATTAGAAAAGGTATGCTTTTTCAACACTGTTTGGTATTACAAGGTACTTGAATAGGAGATAACTTAGGAATTTTAGAGCTGATGGCTAGACTATAAAGTAAAAAAAGAAGAAGAAAGCATTGCAAATTATTTCTATTATGTGACCAGAATACTGCATGAATACAGTCTCAAGAAGTCAAGCTCAACTTGAAAGCATCTTTTATCTGTTAAAGAAACTATGTTAGCTAATTAGTGCTGATCATAGGGAATTCTTACACAATACAGAAATAATTTAAGGACTCATCTATTGTAAGATATGACAGTTATCAAGATGATTCTAAAAGAGAATCTGGATTTCTAGATGTTACTGATTGGAACTAAGAAAAAGGTGAACACTTTAAAAGATTGACCTAACTTCTGAATAGAGTAGAACAAGCATGTCAAACTCGCAATGTCACGTGACGTATCAGGACTTTTTCTCCATTGCCAGCAATGGGGTGGGTGCGGTTTTGGCGTGATGCATCCGGCCCGTGGGCCGGCAGTTTGACATGCCTGTAATAGAATATCTTTATTGTCATTGTGTAACTCACAACAAAATTAAGAATTTATGTCTATTGAAGGCTATGAGATACAGTTGCTACACAGAATTTCACTACACTCTCAACTCTACTAATGTAGAAGAGTAACAATTTAGAACTTGACAGAAAACACTAATTTTTAACCAAGCTTATGAAGAGCTCCTTGTGCACAGTTTTTTTTTGTTGTTGTTGTTATTTTCAACAGAGGTTCAACAACCTCACAAGAATAACACCCCTGCTGAGACACAAAAACTCAAAGGAGTAAATTCTCAACTTATTTGACTTTGGTTTAACCAACTGAGGCTCATCAGCAAACTATGGTGAAGCATCTGCATGGTGCAATGGAGAACCCAGCCCAAGTCATCAGGTGGGAAGCAGGTGGAGCTTCTGTAGGAGCTCTCCAAGGTAGGACGAATCAAAGAAGACTTTACCTTGCAACTGTGCTGCGAGGGACTCTTGATGCTGTTGATACTTGATGCCCACGGCTTCAGCCTTCCTCAGCTGGTTCTGCAATTCATAGTATAGCATTGCCCCATAGATGAAGCCAAACACCACCGTGAGAAGCAAGAGAGACTGCAGGATCCGCTTCTGTTTTCGGGAACACATCCCGTTTCCCATAGTCCCAACCTTTGAGGTGGGATCCAAGTTGATGTCCCCCTAGGACTTCAGCAGCATCAGGCCACAACATGAACCAGGGGAGAGACCTCTCAGAGACTAGGAGGTTCTGGCACGTTTGTTGCCATAGGCCCCGTGCGAACTTTAACCAGCTACAACCACTGCCAGGAATTCAAGGTCATAGCAAGCGAGCTTTGTAAGAGCTTTGCAGGTTCCCAGGAGACCGAGATCTGGAGGGACGGGAGGGTCACTTCCCAAGAGGCCGGTTCAGCTGGGCATCCAGCACGGCTCGGAGATGCTGTTCAGAAGAAACGGGACGTCTTCCAGGCAGGCTTGTCCTTGCTTCACCAATTACTCTGCCGAATTTCAAGGTGACCCGTCTGCCACCAGTTCCCCAGCGCTGCTGCAGGGGACGGTTCTTCCCCCCCACTCCCCGGGACTGGAAGGGCTCCTCTTCCCAGCGCCCTCTTCGCTTTGGCAGAGATGGGTTTGAAGGGAGCCCGGCGAGACTCTTCCAGCAAGGCAAGTCTGCCGTTGGAGACGCTTCAAAGCGCCTTCCCCGTTAAAGTTACTTTTTTATTGTTGCCAAACTGCCCCAAAAGGAAGCTTTTCTTCTCCGGTTCTCCGCCTCGCTTTGGACACCATCCAGCCCCGCCACTTACGTGTCACCTCCGCTCCCGGGCTGCTTTTTTTTTTCTTTTCTTTTTTTTTTTTTTTCTAGCGGGATCCCTGAAGGAAGTCCCGCTCCGGCCGCCGCCTCATTGGGCACAGCCTCTGGATACTCCCCTCCTCTCGAGAAGGCAGAGCGCGCGCACATTGGACGTCCGACGCGTCTGTCTGGCCCGCCGGGCGCCAACCCCTCCCCTCTCCTCCCACCCGCTTCTGTCGGCTTTGAGAGAGGAGGGAAGAGAGGAAGAAGTGGGTGGGGTTGGTGGAGAAGGCGGGGTCGTTGCACGCCAGGGCCGGAGGATAATGCACGGGGGCGGGCGCGCGCGCGCGCGTTCTCGTTCGGTGGATGGTGGTCTCCTCTCCGCTTTTCAGCAAAATGCGAGCGTCTGCCGGTGGGGTAGGGGAACTGTATGCGTGTTGCAAACTACGGAACACGCCGAGACTGCAGCCAAGCGTTGGCTCTGTCTACAGTCTCTTGGGGTCGTGCGAATCCTTTGCAACCCAAATATGTTCGAACTGTGGTTTCCAACGTTTATGGATAACGGTCCCTCCGAGTCTTGGACTTTATTTACTCGGTGGATTTAAAATATTTCTAAGGCTGTTTCGGATTGCACCGGCAGACACAAGTGAGCGTGTGTGTGCTTTTTTTTTTTTTTTAAAAAAAAGGTTTTGCTGCATTGTCACAACGCCTTACTCAGTAGTTTCGTGGTAAAAGTTTAACTTTCTGGTTTTAGGAGTTTTGTAAGACAGTTTTCATCATCCCAGTTAATGTCCGGGGGGGGGGTGCCGTATGAGATAATAAATCTGTTACTCTTTAAAGCATAATCGTAGCAGTCTATCTTGGCTGATCTAAAAAAGATAAATGTTTGAATAGTATCAGAATGGAAAAAAGCATCCAGAGCTATAAGAAAGTTGGGGAAAAAATCCAAAAGATGACGTGGCATTGTATATTATTGCTATGAAACTTGAAATTTGATTCAAGGGGGTCTTTACCTCTAGAGTAGACTGTTTTTGGTTTGAAGATGGAATGTAAAGTATGGTGAGCATAATTTACTTAACTATTCATTTTCTATGTACGCACGCCTATTGCAATCAATGACTCCCTTTCCCTTTTGCAAGTTCGCAATTACAATATCCTAACTATTGCTTTTGTAAATACTTACATTTAAAATAAAACATTTGCTGATTAGTTGGTCTTTTCTTTTGCAGATTTATTTAACTGACTAAGTAAAGTTTTCTTAGCACTTGGTTTTCATTTTTGTTGAAGAACTTTCCAGTTACCTGTAATATATGTCCATCCATTGCTGGCCCTGGCTGTCATGTGCTCTTTGAGCAGGAGTCATGAGTTCAGAAGGGCCCCTAGATAGTGAACTGAGTCTGTTTCAAGCAGTGCAACCCTATCCCAAAATGGTAAATCACCAGATACAGGAGGCTGCAAAACCCCAAATCCACTCAATCTTACAACAACAATCTGTTGTTCTCCAAGCACTGAGAGAGGACATCAACATCTCATCCAGTATCTCTATGAAGTCATAGTTCAGCAACTTTCTAGCCTTTCTCTAGTAAAACACAGCCATGCGTATACAAAATTGTCACAACCGATAATCTGTTTAATGGCTTTTCATTTGTTTCTGTGAGATAGGACAGACCTGAAATCCACTGCTAAACCTGAATAAAATATTTGCAGAAGGAACTCCTTTGATCTCCTCTGCCCAGTGGTGTAGTAGATTTCAAAGTTCAGGAACTCTTAACAACTTCTCCCAATCCTGCTCCTAAGTAAAGTCTACAATGTTAATCACTATCTTGATCCATTCTCTGCTGCACCTGTTCTGGACTGTGAAATGTCAGTCTTGTTAAGATTAAACAGTTAATAATTAACCATCGACCCAGACATGCTTCAAATATATTCCAGTGCTGTAATCAAGGCACACCAATCATAATGGTACTGCCATAATCGTAGCACAACCAACCATCTCGCATTCCACATGTCCTGTTCCCTCCCTCCCCATCTTTAGTTATAATTTGTGTTTTTATTGTTATTAGAAATATCTACTTTTCATGGTTTCATTGCTTTTAATGTTGTAGGCCTCAGAGATGTGGTGAGATGGGTGACAAATAAAAATAATGGCTGAATTTGCACATAATAAATTACAGTTTGACTGGCTTGGATTTAGAACATTGCATGGACACATCTGAACTATATATGACGTTTGCATGTATTTATGCTAAATGGGAGGAAGGTAAAGTTGGTTTAGCTAGTTCTGTGAACTGAGCCACTGTGGTTTGTAAACAATGATTTATGTCTTAGTGAACTGTATAAAGCTAGCCAATTACATATTTAGCATATAGAGAGCTGAGGTGGCGCAGCAGTTAGAATGCAGTACTGCAGGCCACTTTAGCTGACTGTGTTCAGCAGGTCAGCGGTTCAAATCTCACCGGCTCAAGGTTGACTCAGCCTTCCATCCTTCCGAGGTAGGTAAAATGAGGACCCAGATTGTTGGGGGCAATGTAAATATATATACATTGCTTACTGGTATACACCGCTTAGGGAGTGCTTGCACTTAAAGCGGTATATAAGTCTCATAAATAAATAAATAAATAAATAAATATACTGTATATCAGTGGTTCTCAACGTTTGTGTGATGGCGACCCCGTCACACAAACGTTCTGCGCATGTGCGGCGCGGCGCGCATGCACGGCGGCGCCCCCATGCACGGCGTGCATGCGCAGCGGCGCCCCCTGAGGGGAGAATATGGCGGATCGCCTTTGGCGACCCCCGAAAAATGGTCAATCGACCCCAAATGGGGTCGCGACCCATAGGTTGAGAACCGCTGCTGTATATGTATGAGTCAGCTCTGTGCTGCAGTAATCTGGATAACCACTAGTTGGCAGCAAAGGTAGGATTTCTGTATTTCTTTGCTGTGGTCTACTAATTTCTGGATTTTTACAGCCATGATATAGCACGCCTAATTTTGCTTGATATAAGATCCCATTAATGCCTCACAGTCAGTTAAGGGAAAGCTCAATTCTTGACCCTTCTGTCTTAGAGCGATTGTTTGCTATACGAATGGTCATCATTTAGCAATCACTCACTCAGGAACCACTTGAACAATGGTGCTGAGTAAATAACCACTATGGGCACTTCTCCTACTTATGTCAGTCACAGTATTCCCATGGTCATGTGATTGCACCTGGCTCACAATTATGACATTGCACGATCCATAATTATATGATCACTATTTGCACCCTTGTCAGCTTCCTACAAACAATGTCAATGGGGAAGCTGGCTGGAAATCACAAATGACAACCAGATAACATCCTCATTTCACTTATTTAATAACCTGCAGTGATTCACTTAACAATGGCAACAGGAAGTGTCTCAATTTCTTTTGATGAGTCACATAGTCACCTGACATAATGCTCTAGTCTACGACCATGTCACTGAACAGCAGAAATTCTGCTCCTATTGCCATCATTAATTGAGGACTACCTGTATAATACTATTTTTATATTAGCTTTTTATCCTTGTAAATCACTGAGAGTAAGTTTGGCAATGATATAAATTTTCATAAATAAATAGCTATATAAAAATGACAGAACTATCCTTGTGGGTAATAGGTTGTAAGATGGGTGACTGATACTATATGTCAGCCTAACACCAATTCATTCTTGGATCACAGTGTAGAACTGCAACATATGTTTTTCAAGTACATTGTAATCCACAAAGTTTGTTCTATAATAAATATGTTTTAAAGGTTTCACAAAATTCCTTATTTTCCCTATGCCCTATTGTGTGGATGTATGTTAAAAATAACAAGAATGGTTTGTCATTGCTTTCCACTGGAATAATTTTTAAACTTCCTAATCTAGTCCACACTTTCAAATTGGTCAGTAATCTTCCATCCAAGTGCGAACGAAAGCAACCCTGCTTTTGTTTGTTAAAATCTGCCAAAGGTGGCCTATTATTTCTCTTCATTCTAAAATACTTCTTGAGCTGAGAGCCAGAGAGATGTTATCTTGCACAATCTGGATTTGTATCTATTCTATTTTATATTCTAAATATGGCATATCTAACAATGATTTTCAAGTTCATATTAGTCTTGACTTCCAAATATCCATGCCATCGAAATGTCAGGTCATGTCCTTCTAACTCCAACACCCCTCTATTTCTCAGCAGCACCCAGTCTTATCTAAACCATACAGCAAGATGCAAAATCAGGTAGAACCAATCTTCCTCTTTCTTCTGCATTTTATTTACACCTTAATATTAAACTTGTTGTTTTTCTCCTTGCCACGCAAATTTAGATACATCCTTCTGACAGTGTTTAAATGGTGAATAAATTGTGAAAGTAGGGATTATCTGAAGCGAAAATGTCATTCTAGGTAAGACATTTGTTTTTATCATGGAAATTCTTCACAGCGATGACAGTTGCAGTTTCTCCCATCTTAACATGTCTTTTTTAACTTCCTTCCGTGTCTTAACATAGCTAATTTTAAAACAACATACAATTTGTATTTGACATCACAATACCTAAATATTTTACTTCCTTCTTAATCTTAAAACCCATTTGATTCATCAATTCTGTTTGATCTTATATTTTCATGTTTTTTGTTAATATCTTCATCTTTGACGTATTAAAATCTACTAATGCATCAAATTCCTTTAGATTTCCAATTAATGTTGCAATGAAGAGCTAGTTTGGTTTAGTGAAAGGCACCAGACTCGAAAGTAGGAGACTGTGAGTTCCTACTTTAGTCATGAGAGCCAGCTGGGTGACCTCAGGCCAGCCACTCACACTCAGCCCAATTCACATCACAGGGTTGTAGTTGTGGGGGAAATAGGAAGAGGAAGGTGTTCACTGCCTTGAATTATTTGGAAAAATAATAAAGCAGGATATACTGTAAATAAATGAATTAAAAATCTTCCAAAAACAATATCTGTCATTTGCACAAGTCCCAAATTTATACATTTCTTTTTTAATCTTTATTCCCACAATCTTCTCATTTGGCTATTCATCTGTTCATATTTCAAGAACCAAATAAACAAGAAAGGAGACAGTGAACATCCCTGTCTTGTTCCTTTTTGTATCTCACCAGCCTTTGTTAGATCCATTAATAAATAAGTGTGCTTTCTGTGAAACATAAATTCATCTTATCCATTTTATAAAGTTTTCTCCAAAGTTCATGCCTTCCAAAACTTTGAACAAAAAAATTTGTCAAAGGCCATCTATGCCTCTTAAGAAAATCAGTGTGGCTTGTTTTTTATTACATTGCTCCAAATATTCCAAATTGTCTCGCATATTTCTAATATCATTCTTCAAAAATATTTTGGGTAGAAGTCCACATTGATCCTCATCAATAAATTCTTTCAAAATTATTTTCACTCTATTAGCTATAATGATAAATAAATTCAAGATCATTATTCAATAATGATATTGGCCTACAGTTTCTTGTTAAAGTCATTTTTTTCCTCTTTAGATATATCAGCATTATATTGACTTCTTTCCAACTCTGGCATCTTTCTTCCCTGTAAGGTAGAATTCACTGTGTTTTGTACAAATTGTAAAAGTTTATTCTCAAAATGTTTATAGTCAGACCTTGATAATCCATCTGATCCAGGAACATTCCTGATTT